CATGTAGCCATATGTCAGAATCTGGAAGAGAGTGAAAGAAAATTGGGGAAAATAGGAGCAGGAGAGGAAAAAAGTAGAATGCTGAAAGGAGGGAAGGAAAGCATCATGCCATAATCATCTGAATATTAGGGAAAATTGGACATGGGAAAGGCGAAAATTGGATATGGGAAAGATTTCAGAGGGCCAGAAAAAAGCCTGAATGCATCAAATGTGAAAACAATGACTGATATCAAAACGAATGGAAACGAATGTAGGTCCCTCTGGATAAATCACTGCTGTAAAATATCCTTTAGAGGTTCTAAAAGCCATCTTCAGCAGACAATGACAGGGTCAGAGGTCTTACACAGGGAGCACTATCAGCTGAAACAACACTGTTTACGATGGAGGAGGAGTTATGGTGTTGCTGTACAATGGAACATAAAAAATATATTTTCTATATACAGTGCTGACCACAAGCTTATTCCATATCATAGTTCTAAAAAAAATGACCTGAACTTCTGAGTGAGAGACATTTCCTGAGCTCCACTATTCCCTGAAGCATCCCTTCCACAGCTATCCATTTCCCCCTGGTGCCTCAAGAGAGGAACTACTGGTGCTTCACTGTGGCCTTTCAGGGAGAATTCATCGGCCAGTTCATCTGCTCCAAAGCTGATGCGGGTCTCAAACTGTGATGTATCCAGCTATCACCTACCAGACGATGAAATACAAACACATTGCATGGACAGGGTAAACAGTAAGACCTTTATTTGTCAGAATGTGGTCGCTGCCACCCTGTGTTTGTGTCTTGCAGCATTCCTCCCATCTCCTCATCCCTGAATCATATTTGTCTATCTGCCTGCCACACCAATGGAACATTCCAGAAACGGCTGTTGTGCAATCTATTTCAATTTTCCAAATCTATTAACTTTCTTTGTGGGGCCTGCCTCTTCACGAGCCCGATCTTTAAAAACCATGGTTGTTCAACAATTATGATAACTGCAACAGGGGGCATTAGAAGATCCACCCATTCATCTCTCTGCCCCTCCTCCGCACAGACATGACGCGGCTAAATGAAAAATGGACATGCTTTAAAAAGTATTGATTCCAGCTTTAAACAAAGGTACAGTCAATATTATTTACTCCTAAATATATCTTTGTTATCTGTGCTGGAGTCGTAGTTACTACTCTGTCCTTGTAATTGTGGACATAAAAATAATAGACCAATTCCCGCTGAATTGACCGAGACAGGTTCGGTTGTGGCCCTTGTCCTAGTGATGCATATCCTGCATGCAGATGAATGTATGAGCAAGGTTTTCCTCTGATGAGTGCTCCACAAACAGATGAAAAAAAAGAGAGCGAGAGAGACTGAGATAAAAAAAACTAATAAAAAAACTCATTGGTAATCTGAAAGAATAAAATGGCAGTTCATCTTCTTTCCATTATTGGTTCTCCTACATTTTATTTTAAAAGTTGTTTTCCTTCTCATAGAAGCCTGTCTTTTATTTAGTTTAGGAATTGTATTGTATTTTTTAAGGCATTTCTTTGGAGATATTTCATGCCCCCTGGGGTGTCTTTTCTCATGCGGAAAAACCAAGTTTGTTTTGTTTAATAGTATGTGGGGTTTTTTTGTGTAGCACTTCCTGGGTCTTATGCTACTCCACTGTTCACATCTTTGAAGATATTCACATAAATATGATAAAGTACCATTTATTAGCAATTTTCAGGTTACAAACTTACAAAGCAGCTCATCTTTAAATAACAAGCACACCACTTTTTAACATTTTATCTATTTTTAGTAATTTATTATTATCTTGTTCTGTTTTTAATAAGGAAGGGCTCTCATTTCATTTTTGTGCATGGGAGGATGTGGAAATGACAATAAGGGAATCTGAATCAGTATCTGAAAGCTATAACATAGTAAAGGATTATAAAAATATGCTGCAGTTTCATTTCTATATGTGACAGATGTTAATACCAAAAACTCTCAACAAATCCAACAGTACATATGCTGTAAAACACATTTTAGTATTTGTATCATGCTGTGTAAATGGTAAACACCAGTAAAAATGGAAGAAAAAAAACAAACAACAGCTGCCTAACTAACAACAATGTCTCAATTTTTACTCTGTAATAAAAGCATAAGGGTTAAAATGTCATTGCACAATTATTCAACTACACAACTATGTGGGCAAGTGTTTTGCAAGTATCTCTACTCAACAGGACTGTGGGCTGCATCAAAGCCTGTAAACTTGCACAGTACAAATAAGTACTGGAGATTTTGTATTTAGGGGACACAAGGCTCAGAGAAAGAAACAGCCCAGTCAGACAAGGATGAAACTAGAATCTCTTGCAGAGCTGGAGAAAGAAACAGCATAATTGTGAATAACTTGGTATTCAGTGGCCACAAGGGAATTTAAAATATACAGTAGACACACTTTCCCATTGAACTTAATGAGAAAGTGTGTCCAAACCTTTGACTGGTTTTGTAGGTAATATGGTATAAGAGCACTTAAAGAAGACATTTCAAATCAAAACATACACAGACTTGTAAATCTTGCCAAACATTACATAAAACCCTAAACCCTTTTATCCATGTTTGCTGGTCTCTTGTATTATGCAATCGTCAGAACGTGTCACACAGTAGCTCTGGTATATAGTACTTGGCTAAGTACAAAATAAAGTCGTGTTCATTATCAGTTCAGGGAGATCGGTTTCTTACCTGTTTTAAATCAGATGAGACATCTTGGGATGCTGAAGTGATCATGATGAGGAGCTTAAATCCTGAAAAATTTTTCAGAAATTCAGTTCTGATTCTTAATATGATGCAACAAATCTGAAACAAAAAACTCTTGTTTTCTGAGTTCAATAAGTTAACTGACCCAGGTCCATGGCAGTGACCTCTATCCATTACAACCATGAGCTTTTAGTCTGAGTGAAAACAATTTTTCAAAAGTAGCATCAAATCATCTAGATGTCCACAAAGTCCATGGTGAATATCTATTGTAAAAACAAATCTGTAGGCCAAAATTTCAGTATAGCAAATAGATTTACATGAGGGCTTGAGTAACTGTGCATGATGTAGTGTTGATAAAACAACAGCTGTTGACAACAGACTTTTGTGAATATACTGACCAGGTACTGGTGGTGACCAGCAGTCTGTATGAATTCCCTCTAGTTACACTGAAGGTCAGCAGCAAGTTGCCGTTATGTGCCTTGTAGCCATGACAGAGTATATAGTATATTTGAAACTTTATCATTTATGCAGATATTGGTTGTTTGCTAATTGCTTCAGCATACATAGCTTATTTCCTCCTCCCACAGTCGACAGTCCAAAGACATGTAGCTATGATATTGATATTCTAATAGTCATTACAGGCAAGCTTAAAAAGCTGCACTGAAGAGGATTAGTCAAAGATTAGATGTGAGGTGTCTTACTCATGTTACTTTCCACTGCCTCAGCTTGTAGCATCTCATCACAGTGGCCAGTTAAATGTGGCTCAGCTTCTCCCTGAACAAACACCTCCAAATTCCTAATTGTCAAACTTTGTTACATGGCAGATTTCATGCGTCTCAGGATCTGTTGGTTTGTCTTTGACTTGTTTACAGTCAACACCATTCCAGCTCATGCTTTCCTGTTCATTTTTAAACTCTTCTCCCCTTTATGCAGTGCAGTCTGTGTCGTCTGTGTCCCTCACTTGGCGGTAAGGTACTGTGTTTGGGTCACTAAGGGTCCCTTTGGAGAATTCATCTTGTTTTCAGGAGAGTTTCTCTCTCAATTAATCTTGTTCTCTTTTTGGTAGCTTGACTTGTGGGACAATCACTTCTAGTTTGTACAGTCTCTGGATTAACCAAGTGACTTGGGAGGACATATTTCAGCTGATCAAGGACAGTCATTCATTTCCTGGTATAGCCTCACCCTTTTAGGGTGGCTGGGTCCCATTTTGAATGAGTGGATCTTACCTGCCACAGAGGTTTTCTCCTTGATGTGTGCATGCAGTGTTTGAAGACACTGGGTCATACCCTACTGTCCATTTCAGTTTAGAGGAAATTATCTATCAACAGAGAAGACAGAGGTCAGTTCAAGTCTGTCAAAACTCTTGCCTACAAATAGGAAAACAAGCCATTTTCTTTCCATTGTAGTCAATTTCTGTTTAAATGTACACTATAAAATACAGGGTGGGCCACAGAAAAGTATGAACGAGCAAGCGGATTGTTTTGGAGGTGGGCTACTTCTCCGTGTCCCACCCTGTACAATATTTCAGTTAGAAAGTCACTTTAGCAATGAGTTTGATGACATATTATCATTCACTGTAATGCCACAAATAAATATTTACATGAACTGGCAATATATGACTAAAGTTTGCTGTGCCATTATCTTAGCAGTTGAAGTCAATTTTAACCAAATGTCATATGGGAGTAAAAATCCCAGTGTCTAAAAGTCTACTGCTGTGTACTTCTAAGATGTCATTTAAAACCCACTTCCACCTTGAAGAAATTACATAAATGGCACAGAGGTCACTTTATCTGAGGTTTTATCCTTTTCTTTCTCTAAGTGTACTTTAGGGGCCACAGTACTCTATTTTTACAGAATAATATGTTGCATGCATTTATTAAAGCTACTTCATCTAAGACTGAGCTACTGTAAACATTTAATGAAAATGTCACATTCCTTCAATTCATTTTAAATAGAAGAGGAAGGTTATTGATTGTATAAAGAGGTCAATTCACAGTAAACATGTGATGCACAACCACAGAGAACTTTAAACTTGTTTGTCAATGAAGCATGTGAATTATGTAAATGTACAGATACTGTTACCAGAGAAGTTTTATGTTAACTATCTAAGAGGACCATGTTTTAAGTTACATCTGTCATTCTGAAGAAGGGGCAAATTGTTTCAAAAGGCTGTATTAAGAGTGTGATGTTGATTATTTTAACTGATATGAAGAATGCAGTTTAGCTGGTTCAGTCATGCTGAGCAACATGAAAGTATGATGGAAAACCAGTAGGATTAGTATGGTCTAGAATTATTTATTACTGCAGTTGTCAGTACTTCCACAAGTAGTTAGGCCTGTGTATAACTGTAGGTAGCCTATATAACATGGTCAAAGTGCCCGCAATCCCTGCCAGGCCAGGTTAACTGTATGCACTTCAGAGGCGTTCCTAATATTCTGACCCTCTCATGTATGTAGCTGGGGAGAACAAAAATATTGAAACACCTCTGAATATAACATAGTCCAGTACATCACCTTTAATTATCAACTCAATAATTAACATATAACTGAATTCATACATTTAAAACAATTTCAACAAAAACTGAAACATTCTGAACCACAGGGCCACCATCTTTGTTTTAATTATCACATTGTTACCCAGCGGTGTTATTTGGTTTGTCTTTGAAACAAAAAGACCACTTAAATTTGTCAGTAATCTTTAGCATCTCTTATTCTTGCCATTTTTATACAAGAGAACTGTCCAAGTTTCAGTTTCTACAGATATATGATCATTATCATTGTAGGAAATTAACACTTGCTTTAAATAATTTGGCCTCTCCCACTGACTTAAACAGCAACATAGCATCACAGTGTTCATGCATTCTTCAAATAATTTATTAAATCTTTTCAGACTATACAGTAATGATTGGAGCATGTTCTGCTGATGTCAGCATTATACCATACCCTCACCCCTCCATTATTTTAGTGTCTTGCAAAACCAGTTTAGACTTACACTGAGGATAATTCATACAAGGCCTGGGATAATGTTTTAGGATAGTTCCATGCAGTAACAAATGTTAGGCCCTAGTCTTGTTCAGTTCATTTGTAATAAGTTAGAACAGTCATCCGAGACATGAGAGTAACAGACAGTTCATATAAATAATTATTTACAAATGAGTTTAGACTTTAACACGTTCCTTACAAATTCTAGTATACAGTACACAGCTTCAGTAATTACCATTCTGACCTCAACTGACTAGATTATTTACAATAGTCTCGAAACGCTCAGCGACATTTAGCCACATGCCCAGACAGGTGGTGAGAACGAGCAAACCTGCGGAGGCAGTTGGGGCAGGAATATGGCTTCTCCCCTGTGTGAGTTAGCATGTGTGTTTTCAGATGCCCTGACAAGCGAAAGCTCTTTCCACATTCTTGACATGTGTAGGGCCGCAGGTTAGTGTGACTTCTCCTGTGCTTGCCCAGATCGCCAGAGGAAGTGTAACAGCGGTGGCAGTCTGGACATTCAAAGGGCTTTTCCCCAGAGTGTATTCTCTTATGCTTCACCAGGTCTCCAGACTGAGTGAAACTCTTGTTACATTCAGTGCATTTGTAGGGTCGCTCACCAGTGTGGGTGCGCTGGTGGTTTCGCAAATGTGAAAGGCGAATGAACCTATTACCGCAGACTGTGCAGTGGTAAGGCCTTTCTCCAGTGTGTGTCCGCAAGTGTATTTTCAAAGCCCCAAGGTCTCCAATCTTTAACCCACAGTCCCCACACTGGTGAGCCTTTTCATTGGTGTGGAGTTTGGTGTGAACCCTCAGGTTTCTCCGGGTGTTGAAGTTCTTCCCACACACATTGCAGTGGAAGGGTCTCTCACTGGAATGCGTCTTCAGATGGAGATTCAGACTTGACTTGAGTCCAAACTGTTTTCCACATTCAGAGCAAGAATATTCCTTCTTGCCAGAATGTGTTGTTAAGTGGCACTTGAGGTGGTGTGACCTTAAAAAAGCCTTCCCACACACCTGACATTTGTACAGCTTCTCCCCTGTGTGTATTTTCATGTGTTGCCGCCAACCGCTGCGCTCCACGAACCTCCTGCCACAATCCTTGCAGACAAATGGTCGGTCACCTGTGTGTGTGCGCATGTGATCTCCTAGGCTTTGGGGTGTGCGCAGTTTCTTACCACATTCTGGACATGGCACACCAATGTCCAGACAGATTGGTTTATCCTCAGGTTCCGTGTTGTTCGATTCATGACACAAATGAGGACCCTGACCCCAGGTAGCTTTGAAACTCTTGCCACAGTCAGCGCAGCTTAGATGTCCTCCTATGGTAACCACAGACATGTTGTGCCAGCGCTGACAGTGGTTCTTCAGATTCTTCAGGTACTGGAAGCTACGGGCACAGGCTGGGCAGGGGTGTAGCCTGCGAGGAGGAGCTGAGGGATGGGTTTCACGAACATGAACCCTAAGGTGAACTTTAGAGTTAAAGGTGCTGCTGCAGACTGTGCAGGTGTGTTTGGAGATGAGGTTTAGTGTGCGGCTTGAGAGGCATTTTTTTAGTTTGGCAAGATACTGTTTCTGATGGACCCACTTGACATGCTTCTCCAAGAAGTCAAAGTCGGTAAAGGAGACGGTGCAGTGAGGACATGGGAAAAAGTCAGACGATGACTCTAAGTAGGTGAGGAAGACACACACACAGAAAGCAGAGAACATTACAAAGTGGTCAGAACGCATGTTTTTACACTTTCCTGTTGTAAAAAAAAAGCAGTGTTTCAAGCATGCCTTTCTTAATAAAAAAAAAACATACTACTTTGACTGTTGTTCATAAAATAAACACATGTGACACGTGATAAATTCACTGAAAATACAGTTTCACAAAATGCAAAATACTGACCATGTGTGGAACTCCATTACATATAATAATAATAATAATAATAATCTTTGTATACAGTATATGGAAATAAAAGGCATAGGGGTTGTGTAGTTAACAAATGGCTTCTACCTGTGCAGACCTCCTCTCCCTCTCCATTATTTGCTTCCTCTTCATTCTCTCCGTCCTCTTTAATCCATGATTCTGACTCCTCCTTGACAGAAACTTCACTGCATCCATATTCTGGCTGATGGCCAGAGTCATACTCATGCTTTATATGTCTCTGATGACTGTGAACAGCTGATACAGAGGTCACGGTGTCAGGCGTAGTGTCTAAACTTCTTGTTGTGTCTCCATTGTGCTCCTCGCTGATCTCCTGTGAATATGGTTCCTCCTTGATTTGGATTTTAATTCCATCTACATTAGTATTAACCTCATCGGAGCCTTCCTCACCATCCAGCTCCAGTGCATTTTCAGTTTTAGCGATGACCGCATCGTGTTGTTTCTGTCCTCTCTTTGCCTCAAGAAAAGATTTCTGCTCGGCAGATGTCCTCATGTCGTCACCATTAGGTTTCGTCTCAATATTATGCTGTGGATGAGAGGCAAACATTAGTGAGGTGAATATATTGGAAGGCAAAGACAACTACACGAAAAGCGATGTAACTAAAAGAAAATTAGTTTGGTCATCTGTGTTGTCTAACGTTGGCATAGTAGTCAAGCTATTTTTACGGTAACATTAGCCTAGCAGCTGTGCTAGCTCCGTGGCTCAGTTTCCTTGCAGCTCTGCAGTTGTCAGCGTCATTTAGCTTCTGTCTGCTACAAAGAAAAGACTTACAGTGTAAATGACGCCACTCAGTTAAATTTGCCTTTAAATTATTTCACCAATCGTTTACCGACTGGCAACATTATTGTGTAGTGTAGTGACAATAACACAGGAAGAGCAACACATTTCCTGCCGTTGTGACCAATCACAGCTCGCGATATCATTAAAGTGACAGCAACAAAACTGTAACACTCGTTGACTACATTTGAACTCGTTTGGCTTTTCCCTGTCCTTATATAAAATACTAAAGATTTAATTTTGTAGACTCCTACAGACTACAGTGTAATATTAGTACTTTTAATTACTTAAAGCACCTGAATACTTCCTCTACTAATTGTTTGGCAAACTGCACATAGAAAGTGTGTCATCAGAATCAGAATCAGTTATTAAGTAACAAACTACTGGATTAGTGTATGAGACTGTGTTCAGCGTTCAGTTTGTGCAATAGGAAAAGGCCAACATCAACTATAGGATAAATAAAGGTCTACCAGGAGTGTGTTGTAGTTTTTTTCCCCCAAATAACATACAGTAAATTAAAAAGTCTTAAACTAATCATTCTACCCTCACAAATAATTCCATACATTTTCAAACTGTGCATAGGCTACACTGCTTGTGATTTTACTAAAAATGCTAGAACATTCAGTTCACAAACACTTTAATGATTTAGCTGTAAATTTCAATTTTTAAGTTAAAAAAGAAATGTTTAAATTACTAAAGCATCACCTTTATAAAATCCCAGTTAAAAATTTATTCTCCAAGTTTAATTGGTTGTACTTAGTATGATTTTCTTTTAACACACACAAAAATCATGTTCCACTGTTTATTTCAGCCAATCCCGCACAGACAAATCTTCACACAAGCTTCTGTACAACACTGTTCCCTTCTTTGAAAACAAAATACAAACACAACAGAAGTTATATACAAAAATAAAGAATGATTTTAGAAATGCAAGACAAAAAAACAAACAAAACTATTAATGCTTACCTGTGCGGGGCTGTTATAAATAGTGAGAGTATTTATTTGAGGTTTAGTTTGCTGAACTGTGCAGTGAGTATTCAGTTCATGATTTTTTCATTTGATAAGAAGCCAGTAGCACCATTCTGAGTGCATCTATGATACTGTGGACCATCTGAGGCTGGACGGCATCCAAGTGAATAATGGGGCTCACTGCCTCCATTCAGTGCAAAAAGAAAAACAAAGAGAAAAAAAAAATTACTGACATTAACACCAACCAGTGAACAAGTAATTCAATCTCATTGCAAGTAAAAATTCTCTCAAGTCTTCCCAACACAGCTCTTTCCATTATTATTACAGTTTACTAGCATTTTCCATACTGTATTTTTCCACATCCAATAGTTTTGATGAAACTGTAGCTATGGTTGGCTAATAGAGTCATCTAAGTAGGCATGGTGCCTGAGAAAAGCGGTCAAACACCAACAAACATTTCATGTCAACTAAATGCTGTAAAATGACAATTTCTTCATTTTATGGATGAGTTCTGTTGTGTTATTAAAATACTATAGTGTCAAGACCTGAAGACTACTGAAAACATCTTTTTTTTACAAAAACAATTCACAAAATAATGCGTTTTACTGTTATCACATCCTCCTGCAGTTTCACCATACATTTCCATTAACACAAGCGTAAGCCAACTGACTCACAGACAAGGCAAGAAGTGAAGGCAGATGAACAGAAAAGCAAACTACAATGTAACAGAGCCAGTGAATAAATATGCAAAACACACTCAGGTGTCAGCTAAACATAAACATAATAGCTTAGAAGCCTGCCATATACTAAGTTACATTTATAAACCACTCATGTTGACGGTGATATCAAAACCATGTCACAAGCAACTTGGACTTGTTTTTTTCTGCACCAAGCTGACAATCAAAATCTTGCACATCTGTGCTGAAACAATTTAAAAGGTCCTTTGTTCGAAATGGCAATTTTGATTGTCAGTTTTTGGGGTATAAAGCACATATTGGTTCCAAAGTGAACAAATGTCTTTCTGAACACCTCTACTGGTCAAAGAGAAGAACAACAGTCCAGCTTCAGCCTGTGGATAAGACTGACTGTCGAGTACGCTCATACCTCTTTAGTGATCACAGACAGGATAAAACGTTGATACATATAGCTCTGGTAGTGCATTCTAGAAACAGCTGGCTTGGTCATGTGAAGCACTGAAATACAGTATAGCAATGCATGATACAATAAAAGACAATAATTCATTATACAGTGTATGTACAACTCTGTTCAATGCTCACATTAACTGACTCTAATGTAACTCTTTCTTTTGGAACTTGTTCCTTTCAAAAAATTAATTTACTATATATCAAACATTTACAGACTTATCCCATCTCTTGTATCTCTGTCTACTTTATTTATT